TTCGATGGAGTCTGATGGACTCCGGGGATGTGATGGCTTATTTCAACTGTGAAGGACATTAGCTTTTCAACGAGCTCTAGCTCCCTTGAGCTGTGAGCTAGTATGAACTCGTTAATGGTTTATTCCCCAAAACGGGACATTTTGCTCTATCAAAGGATCCAAATTCCCAAAACAGAACAAAAGTTTTCCATTTTCGGGAAAACATTTCCATAACAGCAGATTTTTTGTCCTGTTATGGGAATTGACGCCCTTGAAAAGTAAATTTGTTCTGTTTTTGGGAGTCGAATTTCATAACAGGACATTTGTTCTAGCATGAGAATACAAGAATGACAAGTTTTCAAAAAAAGGCTAATAGACTCGGTCAGATATGACTTGTCTGGAGTCAGTTGAAGTCAGTTAAAATCAACTGAAGTCATTTGGAGTCAAGTGGAGTCAGTTGGCGTGTTGAAGTCTGGAGTCCGCTGTTTCCCCCTTGTATAAACGGCTTGTCCACGTAACTCCTATGGCAGAGATGTCAAAGCGTTACTTTTTTTCACTCATTTTCTTTTGACCATAACTCAAAAACTAAAAGTCGTAGAGAGTTCGAAGACGTTTTAAATTATAGAAAAAACTGCTTTCTACATTTTGAGATCTGATCAGACTCTAGGAAATCTATCTTAAAAACTGTAATCCAAATGTTGAGATCTGCTTTTTAAGAATTGAAACTAAAGGTGTAGATCTCAGCATTTGGATTACAGTTTTTAAGACAGATTTCCTAGAGTCTGATCAGATCTCAAAATGTATAAAACAGTTTTTTCTATAATTTAAAACGTCTTCGAACTCTCTATGACTTTTAGCTTCAGAGTTATAGTTACAGAGTCGAAACAAAATGAGTAAAAAAAGTAACGCTGTGACATCTCTGCCATGGAAGTTACGTAGACAAGCTGTAAAGAAGAAAAACGACTGACTGAAAAAGAAATTTTTGTATCACAGTTACTCATCTAATCGCAATGACTATTCATATGTGCTTTCGATGATTGCTGACTAATTATTGTCGACAATGTCAACAGTTTTAATCTCAATGATCTACAAGAAGGCGAAGTAGAAGAAAAGAAAACAATTAGGATACATTAGATTTAAATATAGCAGTGATAGTTGAAAAGCGTCAGGTTATAATAGATCAGGATTATTGTCTACTTTGTTCATTTGCTAATAGGACTTTTACTTTCTGTCCTGAACGACTTGCGCATATAAAGTTGTGTCGATTTCAGAAATACATTGGCTTTTGCCATGAAACTACATGCAAATATAGCCCTTGTCCTGATGATGGAACAGAATTTACTAATGAAAATCTTTTTAGTTTACTAACATCTTAAACATATTTTTTAACTTTGAGGGTTCAACTCCGTTTTTACAAAAAAATATAATAGATGCGTAAAAATAAGATAAGAAAATAGTTAAATCTGAGATGCAGCTAATAATAAATTGAGAACATCCGAACATATAGCAACTATGATTGATCTAACTATGCAAGTAATTAAACCACTAGTGGAAAAAGCTCAAGATTTAAATCAAAATTTATGCAAAACTTTCGTAATCAGATTAAATGCTATTGAACAAGCACTAAGAGAATCCTATGTGATTGATAAAAGTCCATCATTGTTGTACGAAGAAAGTAGTGTCAATGCGGATGAAGGAGAAGAAAAAGACGAAAAAATGAACGAAGATAATGGGCAGCTTACATGAGTAAGTTGAATCCTCAGGCGGCTTGTTTCGTATTTTAACTAATGGGTTCCTCAAATGTTCTCCAGATAGCTAGGAACAAAATGAAAATGTGAGGATTTGCAGATCAAATTGTAAACAATGTCCTCCCTTGTCTCTCGGAGTGGTACGGAAGTAGCAGTAGTACAATCACTAGAACAGAGGATCAGTATCATGAAGTAAACATCAGTAATATAAGTAGTAATCATCTCCCTATTTCCTTTTTAAATTTTAACATACAGGGTTGGGATAGTCGCTTTTTAGAAATAGTTGATTTAATACATAAAACTAAAGCAGTAAAAGGAGTTTTCACGGAAGTAGGCACACGGCGGAACCATTGCAAAATTCCTGATTTTAATATCTTTCATCAAAACGGTACGAATAAGAGCGGCGGAGTGTGTATAGCGATTGGAAAACATCTGAAGGCGTCACAAGTAGAAACGGCACTTGAAAATACAGTTGTGGTAGATATAGGAGGAGCGACGGAAATGATTAGAGTAATTGGAGTATGTTGACCAGATAGTCCGAAACGAAACTTGGAGGAACTTACTCAGTTTTTGATTAAGAATACGATAGTAGCCAGAGATTTCAACGCGGCCGTAGTTAAATGGGGTAGTAAAAAAGGTGATAGGAGAGGAAAAGAAATTAAGAACTGGGTTGAAGCAACTGGCCTAGTTTTCATCCCAGGTACATTTAACTCTTCAAGGCGATCGGACAGAAACATAGATTTAACGTTTATAAATTTTCGAGGATGTGCTGGTGAAACCCTACAATATGGGACGAGTGATCATTGGCCAATTAGTTATAAGTTAGATAATATAGCGCTCCAGTTGGCAGATAAATTTTGCCATGTGAAATGGACGGAATATCAAATAGTACTTTGTTTACTGCAAGATTCTTGGATACAGTTTGAAAAGGAGACCACAATCGAATGGTATACTTATTATATTCACTTTCTTAGAGCGTTAAAATGCAGACTAACTGTATGGATAGGTAAGGAGAAATATCGGCCGGCACTACCAGCAGATATTTTAGCTAAATTGAGAGAACTAAGAAAGATCAAGAATGACTATTATCGGCATCGGAACTCTTTTATAGATAGATGTATAGAAGAGAAAACAAGGATTAGAACCGTAGAGAGAGAGGTGAGAAGCGAAATTTACAAGCATCGCTCTAATAGGTGGAGTAAATTTTTAGCATCTATTCAAAAGCATCACGATAAAGACCATCCAGTATTTTGGTGCTATTTAGGAAGGCCTTATCGCAAACAGGTATTACCATTCTCACGTCTGATGGTAGGAATCAGAATAGTGTCCGAACCTAATGTTCGAACCTAATGTTCGAAGTTTTGTACACTATTTTCAAGAACGAGCGCACCAAGCGAGAGTAAAGTGTATATGCATTATGTATTTTAGGAATACACCTTAATTTTCCATGGATACACTCTGTAAAAAATAAATT